GCTTGAACAGGCAGTGTTCGATGTTCTCGGAATGGTAGCACGGGTTGTTTCACAGTCCGAAATCGATAGAACTCCTGATGCCCAAAAGGCAATGGATGCGGAGTGGGAGAAACTTCGGAAGAAAACATGTTGGCTCGAAGAAAAGGTTCGCGAGTATGATGACGTTGCCGATGAGGCACGCAAAAACAACGCAAAGGTCCACTTTGGACGGATCTTTGAAATCTGCTCGCAGAAAGGTTCAGAATTGCCTGATGGGGATCCCAACAAGAAGTGGAAGGGTAGAAGTGTTTTTCAGGGAAACCGTGTACATGATGAACGTCATGACCATGCCCTGTTCGCCGAGTTAGGTTCTTCCCCAGCCTCAATGGAATCAGGTAAAATCCTTGACGCGTACGGCTCGCAACCAGGCTTCTCGAAGCAGCAGGCGGACGCTAGACAAGCGTATACCCAAGCACTTTTCGAAGGTATAACTACATGGGTTCGTTTGGCTAAGAATCGTTGGCCTAGTTCCTGGAAAGGCTACCGAGACCCCGTATGCCCGCTTCGATTAGCTCTCTATGGACATCCCGATGCCGGCGGCATTTGGGAAAAGCATTGCGAGACCCAGCTTAAGTCCGTAGGATGGATTCCAATCTTGCCTGAAATATGGCAAAGCGTCTTCTACCATCCCGAGCTTGAGCTAATGCTAGTTGTGTATGTTGACGACTTTAAGATGGCAGGTCCCACCAAAAACATGGCCCAAGGTTGGAAGGACATCAACAGCGTCATTGATATGGATCCTCGCGAAGCCCTTGGTCGGTACTTTGGTTGTAACCACGTAGAACAGCAACAAGTCTCCTGTCCCAAATCCGATCACCCTTTTGCCCGTGTCTTTGAGGGAAAACCCGCAGCAATTGCGAGGGGAAACCCATCGCCGGTCAGGAGGGAGGATTTCTGGGAAGTAGACTTAGAGGCTGGTGCAGTGGTTAGACATCATGTGTACCCGACAAAGAAGCTATACGTTCCAACTGAAGACGACGTATTAGCTTTTCCCATGATGGGGACCAGTCGTGTCACCGAGTTTGATTCGAAAGAAGAGTTACATGTTGACGACTTTAACCAGGGGGGTGAAGCTAAGTTTGACTGGTGGACCGGCAGAACCTATTTCCCACTTGATCGTGAAACCCCAGTGGAAGACTTCACTTATGCTCTTGCATCCTACAAGAAAAAGAATCCACGTAGCAAGACAGAAGCTAAGAACAAAGTCAAAGAAAATAGGTTCAAGCCACCCGAATCCATCATTGACAAACCAACCCCATGTATGGTCAACAAAGTCAACACAGTAACCTATGACATGGAGGATTTTCTTGGCACCTGTGTTGAGAAGTCCTGAGGCATGCTGCCACGCCTTTTCATGAGGCGCGTATCGCCAAGCCGGTGGATCCAGACAAGGAGCCAACCGGTAAGCTTGCGGGTATTGCATCACGCATCCTCATGAAGGTGCTCTTTGCAGCACGCATGGCCTGCTGGGATCTTCTCCGTGCTACGCAAGCCCTCGCGTCTAGGGTTACTAAATGGTCGCCCGATTGCGACGTTGCCCTACATAGGTTGATCTGCTACGTAAACTCCTCCATGAACATCAAACTGAAAGGGTTTGTAGGGGATAAGATCTCCGAATGCAAGTTGTGGATGTTCTGTGATGCTGACTGGGCTGGGGATGCTGATAGTAAGTCTACATCTGGTTGCATGATCGCACTAGTAGGCCCTAGCACGTATTTCCCTCTAAACGCCTTTTCAAAGAAACAGACAAGCATCACAACATCATCAACAGAATCAGAGGTCG